GGATAGTGCAAATGGCCATAAATGTTGGCTGGTTGCCATGTGCCCAAAATGTAGTCATGGGGGTAGGGTAGCCAGTGGGGGTTGGAACTGGATTGTAAGTACCTTGGGAGGGGTCTGTTGTAACTTTAAATGGTCGCTAGGCAACTAGCCCTAAGTCAAGGACGATCTGTATTCCAATCTACCATGTCAATTTACATCTTGCTACTTTGTCATGCTTATTTTTATTGGAGTACCCATAAATGCACTTTTCTTTACACTGTTTATACCTTTAAGAAAAGGTCCATGTTCATTTTAATGTGCTTAAAACAGGGTTAATGATAGCTCAAAATGACTTTTAAATGGACTGGTTTAACCACTAGCATATCTCCATACTTTCGTATAACTAACTTGTTTTATGGAATACTATACTTTTAGAGAGTGGAAAGTATCACTTTCTATCCAGATATTTGGGAAGATATGCAGCAGCTGTAAGTTTTTGGAACGTAAAGGGAGGCATATTCCGAATAAAATGCTCTAAATTACTGGGATTTTTCAAACATTTTTATAAAGCATTTTCTAATCATGCCGTGTTTTGACTTAAGAGAATGTTTTCATTATCTGCAGTGCCACAACAGAGTGATGTTCAAGCAGTTCCTGCAAGCTGAGGCTCTGAGCTACCTCCAGGTGGACAGTTGTAGGCTTGGAAGCGTCAATGAAATCTTGTCTGTATTGCTGATGGCCAAGAAGTTTAAAAGTAAGACTCCTGGAAATGCTGCGGTAACACTGAAAAGAGAAAGAACAGAAATGTTAAAAAACAGCGACACGCAAGAAGTAGCACATTTTGTAAGTCCTTGTAGCTGATACACAGTATTTATTTTGAGAGTTTGGCTTCACCCAGAAGCCTGGTTTAAAAGCAAGCTCAGAGGTGTGAACTATGTATCAAAACAAATCACATATTTCTACAACAGTAATGAACAGCATGTGGCTTTCCAGATGCTAAGCTCCGATCTAGATAGTGTAAGCTATCATTTCATTCCCATTTATGGAGGGCCAGTTGGAAAAGATTATCTAGCCTAGGCGGGGATTTTGAGGAAAAAAATATCAATAAATGTTACATCTTGCCCCCCTTCCCCCCAGTTCCAGTATGTCCTCATGCAGGCGGGGTCGGACTTTGTGAGTTGGTACAGCACTTAATAATATTTGACTACATTTCAGTATCTGGCAGCCTTGAAAATAGGTAAGATATTTTGTTGCTTCTTGTCGTATCTTGAAACACTTAAAGCAAGTACTGGTGTGTAGCTGTAATCAAGCTACAAAAATTAATTTCTGATTAGAGAAGATCCAGAATAAAGCTTTCTTTATATAACTTTGAAAATGTCTTTAAAATGGGTACAAGGTGGTATCTTACCAGCCGTAGCAAGTTCCATTCATCTGACTGATATCTACAGATAGTCCTCAACTTACGGCATAAAGAACCACTTGGAATTACAATGGGCCAGGACAGGTGCTTTATTCTCCTGTACCACTTTGAAGTGTCCTAGGGTCATATTATCATGATTTGTTTGCCCTTATGACCTCAGTGTTCACTTAATGACTGGTTTGCCCATGCCCATCATTCGATTAACTCCATTTTTGTTACAAAAGTCATAAAATTGGATCCAGTCATGGAGATGCCACAACTTAAGAACTGGAACACCTTAAAACCAAAACAGCCTATAATCCAAAATTCATTTCCAATTATAGTTATGAGTCAACCTGTATATTTTTATAGGTGAAATAGCAACCCTAAATAAATACAAGTGTGTTTGAATCGTAAATATGGTTTTTTTTTTCTTTTTAGGATGTGTGAATATGTAGACCACTTGCATGAACACTTCAAGTATCCTATAGTAATCATGAACGCATCTTACATGCCACCCCAGGTACTGCTTAAGTTCAATATTTAAACTATTTTCAGAGGTCTCGCCATGATTTTTTTTATATAAAAATGTAAGGCAGCAAGATTCAGTTCCAAGATTTCTTAGCATTCAAATTCTATTCCACACAATTCAAAACACTATCTATCAATTTGTGTCAGGCTGTTTCCTAAAGGATGTTCAAATGAGCTTTGTACATCTATATTTGCCTCATATCTTTATATATTAGTTACTAAAATACTTTCAACTACCTTGAAGCAAGTGGGAAGTTGAAACCTTCCATTTCACCATCAAATACAGTAGGGACTTCAACAGCTTACTTTCTTAGCCTAGCCTAATGTGAGGCAGTGGTTTTACAGAAAAAATGTCCCCGTTTGATTTTGAAGCAAAAATACATTAAATATTCCCTTCTATATAGCTTTCAAGAATTGTTGACAAATCAAATTTAATAAATGCATTTAATTCATATTATTATTAAAATATGTACATTAAACTAACCATACTGAGCACATACTAGTAGGGCATGTTTAGTTTTATATTTTTAAAGATGAATTTTTTCTTTCAGGAGGCTGGATATTCCTCTGAAATGAAAGAAGATTCTGTAAAGAAATACCAGTTTCCACAAGGAGAAATCTGGCAGAAATTCTTGTGTTCATAATGCAACGTAAAACAAGTAAATATTCCATTTTTTCCCAAATGAAGATAAAAAATTTTAAATTGATGTTATATTAAGATGCAAGTCAAATAAGTGCTTTTAGAAAGCTTCCTCTGTTCACACAAAACAAAAATAATTATATTGCCAATGAATGTCCTTGATCAGTTTAAAAATAGGAGGCTTTTAATAGCTAAGTTTAAAGAAATTAGATGATTCATCCTTCTTCAAGCTATTCCAGAACTACAGGATTATGTAATGGAAGATTGCACTTTAAAATGTATCTGCCAAGATTAAATGTTCCAAATAAAACTTAACTGCGTGTTGTGGTGCGATGTTTTCTAAGGTGGCTGTTCCTTATAGAAAATAAAGTTGAAAGCCTGAATCTAGACATTTAAATTCTGGCGAACATTTAACATAGAATAGCAATTGGACCAACAGTTTGGAAAGATGAGTGATGGCAGATCGTAGTCATTAAAACATACATCAATTTTTTTTGAAGACAAGTGAAAACAATTTATTCTTCTAGTCAGGAGTTTTGAAACCTCAATGGGAGTATCAGCAATAGATGATGAGCTAGATTTTGAGTTAACGGGCGCACTTGTAACTTGAATTCTTTCACAGAATGGCTCTACTGGAAAGGCACATTCTTGTTGGTAGGGTGATCAGTAGCAGAAATACCTAATTTCCTGAGATTGGATTGTCAGCTGTTCGTCTCTTATCACCCAAATTTATCTATTCCAGGCCAGAAAATTCTTAATAGAGAATATTTCTATACACTTGAAGGATATAGAAGTAGAGCTCATTAACAGAATCCCATTATTCTTATAAACTTGCTGTTTGAAGTTGAAATCATGCTCATTCTTTTTTTTTTTTAATAATTTTTTTTTATTTTTTAATAACAAGATAAACATAAATAACAAAATAAACATAAACATACCACAAAAAACATAAAAAGATCCTTCTTACAGTGCGTCGATTGGTTTACTTTTTTTTGTGCATCCATTTCCTAGTCACGTATAATTATATTACATAATAGCTCATATTATCAATCAATATTTGTATAACCTAATATCATCACTAAAAAAAATCATTTATAATTTTGTTAATTCATATTTTAACGAGATAACTAGTTTGCTTAATTTATTTTGCAATAAATCATAAGTTCATACCAAATCTACCTTAATGTTTTATAAAGATAATATTAAGAAAAAAAAAAATTTTTATGCTAAATCTGAATATTCTATCATTATGTTTTATTATCTAACCATTGATAAAAAAGATCCCAAACTTCATAAAATTGTTTATCTTCTTGTTCTCTGATTTCAAATGTCAATTTACTCATTTCAGCACAATCCAATATTTTCTTAATAATTTCTTCTTCTGATGGAGTTTTCTCACTCTTCCAGTTCTTAGCAAATACAATCCTAGCCGCTGTTAATATATTTACAATCAAATACTTCAAATTTTTATTATATATATCAGGTAAGATTCCCAATAAAAAAATCATTCTCATGCTCATTCTTGTCAATAAATAAAAAAACTAGAATATGAGGCTTTGTAGTATGTCCAATTTCAACATTGCTTTTAAATACCAAACATAAAAAAACTGGTAGGTAACAAAGAAAAATGTTGGGGCAATGGTGGGGTTCAAATATTGTTGCCACCAGTTTGGTGGGTGTGGTTTGGTGGGCATACTTTGCATGCACACGGGCACTAAAAACGCACTTTGCGCAGAGGCGTTTGCGCAGGCGCAGCAGTGTTCTAACTCGCCTCCTGCAAGGCAAGTCTGCGCGATCCTGGTTGCTTTAGCAGCTGCCGTGCAAAGCAGCTGCGCTTCAAATTCAGTGGATAAAGGTGAGTATGAGAGCCCGGGTGGCCGGGCCCAACAGCAGAGAACCAGTTCGGTCTCTACTGCTCATCGCTCCTACCAGCTCTCCAGAATTGGTCAAATACCACTACTGTGTTAGGGTAATGTCAAAAGACATCACAATATTCCAGCTTTCTTACTGGTCAAAGTAAGTACAGAATTAGTTTCACTTTGCAGTTAAAATGCACCTGAGATTAAGATGCTGCTAATCTGTAGCAAAAATGAAAATTCCCTTTAAATCGCAGGGAAATGCACAGAATTGTAAAGTTTGTGGCTTAACCAACAGACAGCTGATACTTTTAGAACCTGCCTTAATAATGCTCATCTGCTTCCACTGCTTGGAAAGAACAATGCAGCTTTTATGTAGTGCAGAAGCTATTCAATCTTATCTCAAATCTTACAGCTTAGTCTTTTGCACAAGTATACAACGGGACAGCCCTGTAAAACCAACAATCTGGGTAGTTCATTTTTTTTCCAGCCATTTTGGAAAACATCAGTAAAATTAGTCTATTTCATTTTAAAGTTGCTGACTGTCTACTTCTCCAAGCTGTTTGTTGATTTTTCTATTCTGCAGTGCTTTCTACTGGAACTTTGCCAGGTTAACTTGAAAAATGAGTGATGCAGTACATCTTTCCCTTAAGGTTTCAGCTAACATTTATTACAACACATATGATTTATTACATAATTCCAAACTACAGAAACCCTTTATATTCTCTGTACATGATACATATATAACAGTCTACTTCAAATTCAAGCTTCATATGAAAATGGAACATTTTTTTAAAAAAAAAACTGCTTTTGACCTTTTGAGTGATGTGAATACAAACAATGTTTAAATGCATTAACTCCAGGCTGAACATTAAAACAGTTGCAGAAAAAGTTAATCAGACAGCCATTTCCATTTTAATGGCTGGGTGTGGATGATAGTCTTCTATCTCAAAGTCATCTGCTCTGAAGTCATTGATGTTTTCAACTTTACGAAGAATTTTGAGCTTAGGGAAAGGTCTTGGTTGTCTCTGAAGCTGAAATTTAAAAATATATTACATGTTATAGAGTTCAATTAAATGTTGACTTGATTGCTTATTGAAGATGCTTTTTATTAGTAATTTATATAAGTTTTGATTTAAAACAGTAAACAAACTGTTTTATAGGGTAACATAATATATAATTGTACCTGAAGAAGTACCAGTAGCAATTCAGCAGCTGTAAAACTGCTACCCTATTAAATTGTAAGCCACTGCGTTTTGCAACAACTGAAGGTTCCAAGTGGTTTTCAAAGGTAGGACAAAGACAGCACATTGTAATAAAACAATCACAAAGTAATGGGGACATAAATGGAGCCAAACACTCCACCTGCTTTTCTCACAGTAGCCATTAATCCAGGATACCCATAAAGCTACAGAAAGTCACAGACAAGTTTCTTCCAAGGTAGCACAACCCTTTCCAGAGCTAGAAAAGAGATCAACTTTTGTTTATTTTGACCCACCCAGATCCCGATAGCAATACAGAAGACTCACTGTATCTCCTGTCTGAACTAGGCTAGAGATAGAAAAATATTATCCATGTAATGATTATGCTAACGTGTTATCTCTTCCAATTGCAGAGTTAAATAAGATAGGAAAATGCACCAAACTCTGCAGTAATCCAGCCCAACAGTTCTGCTCAATATTGACAAAACTATCAATTCAGGAAGAAGCAAAACTAACTCCTAATCTTTGTAGGTTTTCAGAGTGAATTGTTTTTCAAGCACTACTGACGGATTTAAAAGTTCTACTTCATCCAGGTCCTAATGGAAATAAGGAATATCAAATGCATCTAATGGTTTTAACGATATTAAAACAAAATGAGAGTAATCAACTGGTATATTTACCTGTATTTTCAAGGGTTCAATATGGTTTAAATATATATGAGCATCCCCTAATGTATGTATGAATTCACCAGGCTATATAAAAAAAAAGTATCATTTAGTGAAGAATAAACAGAAAAATAAATATGTTGCTAGACAAGCTTTTTTTTTCTGAATGTACTGATTGTCATTCTCTATACATCAGTTTGGTCATACTCTAAAAGTATATGTCTATGTTCTAACTTTGAGAACTAAGATTGCTTAGTCTTCCCTCATTTTACCATATACAGCAGGGATGTTAAACTCGCCTCATCACGTGACGTATCGGGACTCCCTTCGCTAAACCAGGCGGGGCGGAGCCAGCATGTGACACATCCGGCCCACAGGCCGTGAGTTTCACACCCCTGATATACAGCATTAACCAGGGAAGGTACATTGGGATAGGAGAACTCCCATCCAGGTGTTTATCTGACACATGGGGGGGGGAAGGGTGGGACAGGATCATGCAATTCTCTCTTCAAGCTCTAAGTATAAGTAGAAATGTGATCATATTTTGTTCAATTCAAGTACAACTTTCTGAAACAGATCTTACCTGTTTGGGGAAAGAAGAACAGGCTCATTCAATCCCTATTTTGTTCAAATATGTCCCATTTAGGGGACCTAATTCTGTACCAATAAGGTTCAACTCCTTAACTACTAGATTCCTAGGACTGTGCATCTTCCTTTTTCTGAATCAAGTTTGAATGTTTGCGTGTGTATGGAGCAAGATGAATCCATAAATGTTCATTTTTTCCACCTCTACAATCCATCAGTTTGTCATGTATTTATTTTTGTTATTTCAGTTATTGCAAGTACTGCAGTGAATTTTGCAGATAAGCAAAAAAGTGTATAAGATATGTAATGTAATTCTGTCCTGTTATATAGGTGTGTCAATACTGCCAACGAGGCTTTTTCCTCCCATACCGCTCATCTTTATACATCTCCATGAACTGGAAGCAAATTCCTTCTGCATCTCACCAGTACTTAAGCCTCAGCATAAAAATTCTTCAAACTGAGGCAAGTGCCAGACATTGAATTTACTATTAAGTAAATAGAATGATCGAGTCTATCACTAAAGCACAAAACAATTTTCCATAAAGATTGGGAAGTACTCTGTACCCAATTATCCATAAATACATAATACAAAACTGTACCCCAATTACCATGTCTCTTACAGTAAGCATAGGAAATTGAGTTCAAATGGCTATACAATTTTCTCATGCTGGCTAAAGTTTTTCAAGTAGAAATACTAGAACATTTGCTGGTGCCGTTAAGCTCTCACTCTTCAGAGTAGTATAAAGTGCTGCCAGAATTGACCTCTCCCATTGTCTGTTTGGTAAAGTTCCACACCTTGGCAAACTGTTCACCCTAAGATTTGTTGATGTTTTTCCTTACTTCCCATGATAATAGTTTAAAAGATTAGGATACCTTCAGGCCTGTAACATGGGCAATCATTGAAGTAAGAAGTGAGTAACTAGCTATGTTGAAAGGTACACCCAGTCCCATGTCTGCAGAACGCTGATACAACTGACAAGAGAGTTCACCATTTAAAATGTAAAACTGGCAGAGAACATGACATGGAGGTAAAGCCATTGCAGAGAGATCTGAAAAAAACACACAAAAAAACAAATTTTGAAAAAGAATAAATAGCCCAAGAGAATGTTCATGCAACTATCCTGGATAGCTTTGTTTTCTAAGATTATTTTTTCCTAACAAGAGTTATCATGGACAACTACAATCTTTAATGACTCAGCATTAATCATAATATACCTTTAGGGTTCCAGGCACACATTATAATTCTTCTGTCATCTGGATTGTTTCTGATTGTATCAATTACTTGCTGTAGTTGGTCTACTCCTTGTCCTGTATAATCTACAAAAAAGTGAAGCCAAGCTTATTTATAATACTTTTCAATACAAGAACTAATCTCACTCTTAACAGTTGTTTAGCTCAGCGATCGCCAACTGGTGGGCTGTGAGAAAATTTTGGTGGGCCACAGAGAAATCTCACCCCAAGAGCACCCTCCCCCAAAGCAATTAATCCAGGCTGTGCAGAAACACAAGTGCCTGCGCTGCCCACATGGCCCGTGGGAACTTTCCCTGCCCACTCACTCCTTACCCGGTAAACTTGCCTGCTAAATTTCTATTTTTCCTTTTTCCGACCATCATCTGGTCTCTGTGCTGGGAGATTTAGATTAGCTAGGAAGCAGAAAATGGTTGGATTTCTTCCATTCCAGCTAGTCTTTAGATCTTCAGCTCTACTTTTAAGTATAGCCGGACCTCCCTTAGGACTGAAGGTTTGCTTGCAAGCAAATTCAGTGCAGACTCAAGGCAAGCAAATTTGAGAGACTGAGCTAGCTGATGGCAGGCAGGCAGGCAGATAGATAGATCATTGAATGATTCTGTGAGCAACTCAATCTGCCTGCTTTGCCTGATTTTGGGTAAAAGTTGCTCTTTTTTTATAAAAAATTCAATATTTACATGCATGGTGTGTTGTGAGTTAATTTTGTGAGATTGCTTGCTACCAAATTTTGAGTTTGCTTGTGAGCAAATTTTATGTGACAGACTGAGCTAGCCAGTGGCAGATAAGATAGATCTCTGAATGAATCTGTGATTCTGTGAGCAACTCAAATCTGCCTGCCCGCTTTACCTGATTTTCAATAAGTTGTTCTTTTTTTAAATAAAAAATTCAATATTTATATAAATATTTATATTTACATACAAGCCATGCCCAGCCAGTCACATGACCACCAAGCCACACCCACAAATTAGGCCACACGCACAGAACCAGTTAGTGGTCCCTGGGATCTAAAATTATGAGTTTGGTGGTCCCTGAGGTCCAAAAGGTTAGTGACCCCTGGTTTAGCTCATTTATTATGAGATTGTTCCACTAAAGACTTATTATGAGATTGTTCCACTACTTAAGAATCACAAGTTCCTTCTGGAAATGTCTACTAAATAAACCAAATAAGAAGCATCGGTCATCAGCACAAATATAACAGGGGCTGGAAAACAGAATACAAAATATATTTTTTATGATGTCATCTGATTAAAAGGCAGAAATGTAAGCCATTTAATAACTAGTGATAGCATAAATCCATTTTAATTCTAGGGGGAATTTGAGCTATTTATTAAAACTCCTACTCCATCTTGATCAAAGTACTTATTAACAGTAGATGTAAACAGTAGTTTACTCTAGCTTAAATGGGACAGTACCAACAATACATATATGTATTATTTACATAACTGACATGAAAATTAACTTTTAAAAATTACTTCCAATAACAAATTATTCAAATCTTGAAACAGAAATTTGCTTAATACATAACACAAAGATGTTATTTTATAGAGTTGATTCTAAACACGTGTTTGAGACACATAAATAGGAAAAACCTCTCAGCAAGTCTTTAAAGCAGTTGTGTCTTTTCATGTCCCCATGTACTTTAAATATAGGTCCTCATTTACTGATCATTTGTTTAGTACGGTTCCAAGTTACAATGCTAAATAATTTTTTTTTACAGCCTGAATATTACCTTCATAGCATTAGTAGGTGTTGTCCTGCCTGACCTGTATTTTCCCTTCCCCACCCTTGCAAACATAGATTGGAGACAAAACGTTTGCAAGAAAGTCAGCTATTTGTGTAGCAACCCACTGCTCCACGTCCACTGCTTGCAATCATACTGGTTTTGATGTATACAAGAGAGTAAGCAGCCACTCAAGCATTCCAAGCAGCAGAGTGGTTAGAAGGCAAACAAAAGCGAAAAAGAAACTGCTTCATTTAATTAGCCAGTCCTATTAGGGTAGTTAAATAAAGATTACCTGTACATTTTTGGAATCAAGCCAGTTTATCTCATAGTCTATTTTTATGGATACTTGAAACTGAAAACAAATATTCAGCCATGTTTACCTGTGTTCATATCTTTGTAGTCAGCTCCAAAATGTCTCCACTGGAAGCCATAAATAGGACCTAGGTCTCCTTCCTCTCTATTAAAAAATCCTTGTTTGTCTAAGAATTGCCGAGAACCATTGGCATCCCAAATCTTAACTCCCTTAGCAGAAAGCTCTTTTGCATTTGTAGAACCCTGTGGGTAATGAAAAAGAAATCATTTATCAGCAGTCAGCATAAACTCTTGAGACTTCTTGTAATTTTTTAAATTGTAGATACTTCCAAAGACTTGGGGAAGAAAACATCTCCCAACATTGATAAGATTATACAACCTATTGGTCAAAGATCCTCAGGCTGGTCTTGTGGTGTAAGAGTCATAACCTCATTGTGAACATCAAAAAGACCAAAGAATTGATTATAGACTTCAAAAGATGCAAAGCAGAGCCTCTCCCACTATATATCAATGGAGACTGTGTGGAAAGAGTTCATAGTTTTAAATTTCTAGGAACTCGTATTTCCGACCTTACTTGGTTGGTCCACACTATGGCCACTGCAAAGAAAGCCCAACAGTGCCTGCACTTTCTGAGGATGCTGAAAGAGTGGTTTGGGTGAGAAGTTGCTGGTTACTTTTTACCGGTCTACCATCGAGAGCATTTTGGCATACTGTGTAACGTGTGGTATGCTGGATGCTCTGCAGTGGATAAGAAGATGCTCCAGATTTATAAACACAGCACAAAAAAAAAAAATCAGTTACTCTCTTTCTTCTTTGGAAGAGATTGTGAAGATCAGACTCCTCTCTAGAACACTAAAAATCTCCAGACCGTTCTTATTCTGGACATTCATATTTTGATCTGTTACCATCAGGGAGGCGTTATAGGTGTCTTAAAATGAGGACTAATAGATTGAAAAAGTTTTTTTTCCCTAAGGCAGCAATTGTCTTGAATCAAATCGTGCATTTGTGATCTAGTCCTATTATTATAATTATTTTAATTTTTAAAACTCTGTGGTTGTGATGTGTTTGGGGCACTGTGCTAGAGTAGTTTTCAAATTTTATTGTATTTGTGGAATGCGATGACAATAAAGGTATTGTATTCTATTCTAATTGCTGCTAATGACAATTCAGTAAAGCAGTAAATATTCAGAATACCAGTTTCAATACTCAGATTGTCTAATATGACTTTCTATCATATATATGTTCCATTTTTACAGGTGCTTATAAATATTTCTATAAACAAGAAACACTTCAGTGGTTGTGAAGCTACAAAGTACATGTCCTTGACAGATCAATTTTATATTTTTCTTATTATACAAAGTTTATTGGATTTCTCCAAAATATGATTTTGCTTGTTACTTTGTACGCATTATATTTTCCAATTCTCTTATTTTACTATTTTAGGAATATTTTGTTAAAAATAACACCTATAATAATTTTAATATTACAGGCAAAAAAATTAAAACTGGTTCGAAATAAAAATAGGAAAATATTTTTGGTACACCTTATATTCAAAATATTTAGCAAGATTCAATATATTACTTTAATCCAAATTTTTAATAGTACTAGAATGCATTCATAGGTAATAGATTTTAATTAGACTAACCCTAAATTTGTTTCAGGCTCCAGTGAAATCTTCAGAGAACAATGAGTAGCATTTGAAGAATATTCCTCTTTAGCAATCTATTTTGATTGATTGATAAGCAAAATGGATAATCCCGTTGTTTGCCAGCGCTTAAAACTCACAAACCTCTTGCATGAAGACCACAGAACATGGCTTCCATGCAAACAGCAGTCATCTAGAGCGCATGTGGGCAATATCCTGTTTTCTCCTTAACCAGAGAGGTTCCAAGGAACTGGTCCTTGGAATAGGTTCCTTGGTTCTCTGCTTTAGTTGTTGACATTTCACAAAATTGTCTTCAATTGTCTCCTCCCCCAGAAGTCTGAAATATATTTCTCTTCTGGAGGTGAGACATGCATGTATCATATTTTAAAGAATTACCCTGGTAGACATGCTACTTATCTGTCACTTCTTTCCAACCAAGACTCCAATGTATTCTTTTCAGGTTGCCCATTTTTGTGCCTCTATTTCTTGTTTGTTCCACAAAATTAGCTTTACTCTTGGTGATCTCCATTGATTTGTATTATTATATTTATTTTAACATATGCCTATTTTTTAAATTTAATAGTTTTAGATGTTATGTACTGCTATATAGTGGGGTATTTTTGTCTAAAAGCTATAACAGAAATTTGTTGATTATGTTGAATAATTATTAGCTCCATGTTTCTACCATCCCTTTGGTGATTTGTAGGCTGTTACATCTCGCCCAGAACTCTTCTATCCAGATCTCTGCAGGCTTGCAGTAGAAAACTAACGTGCCTCATCTCTATCCTCTCTGAATAATTTATTGCTGAATTAATATTGAACTATTATTTGTGCTTATAATAAATCTCAAACCTTTTTATTTATTTCAATGGGTCTAATCAAAATTTGACTGAAACCATTAGTATGCATTATACCTTGATAAACCAAAGTAGTTCTTCAAGTACTCCTTTCCAGAATACTCTTTTAGTTGTTAACAATGGAAAACCATCTGAAAGTCAAAAAAAATTAAGAGATATTGGGTTATATTCTGCACATTTTCTAAAGTGAATTAGTACATCCTTTGGAGCCATTAAACATAATTCAGATAAATATTTAATCAGTTTGTCATATCAAAATACTAGCATTTAGTATTCAGACTTTTGGTTTTTTAATCAAAGGACAGGAGAAGTGCTTCCAGACTTGCAAGATTCTGCTATTATAAACTTACAATAAAGATACTGTCACTACTTATGACTTTAGTATCTTCCTCAAAAAGCTGTCAGTCATGGAAGCTGGAGCCCTTGGGTGGGCACTGGGTGACCTTGAACCAGCCACTATCCTAGCCCAGACTATCTTACAGGGCTGCTTCTTGTGAGGGAAGTACAGGTGGTCCTCGACTTAAAACTGTTCCTTAGTAAATGTTACAACGGAACTAAAAAAAGTGACTTATGACCGCTTTTCTGGGCTCGTGTGATCCTTTTTGTGACCTTTTGACAAGCAAAGTCAATGGAGAAGCCAAATTCACCTAACAGCCTTGTTACCAATAATTGCTGGGATTCACTTAACAAATGGGGCAAAATTCACTTAACTGTCTTGCTTAACAACATAAATTTTGGGCTCAGTTGTGGTCCTAAGTCAGATTACCTTTTTAAGCACTTCCTTAAACCATATATTCTACCAAGAAAAAAAAAAGGCTGGCTATAAATCCAATAAATACATAACTGAAACAAATTTTGGGGGTACCACTTGGGGAAAAATCACCTATTTTCTCCATCCTTCCTGTTTTGAGACAAGTTAGTGCCTGAGACAAATTATTCATTAGTGACACTTTAGTGCTCCTCAGCAATGAATTTTGGACCTAATTCGTACCCAATTAGGCAGAACTAGAGTTACGAATTGGATATGGAAATCTGGAGACCGAGATGGGGGTCAGTCTCAAAATCTTCTGGTGTCTCCTCTGGCTTCATCACCATTTCTTTCTTGCTCACAGATTATAAAAGGGCCAGGGGCTTCCTTTTTAATGCGCGTTGTTCTTTTATTTATTAGAATTCAGGGGTCTCCAACCTTGGCGACTTTAAGCCTGGTGGACTTCAACT